GCCTTTTGTCGCACTGGGAAGCAGTAGGCTTATTTTGAGTGTATTCTAACATTTGAAGGCGTATGTGTTACGGTTAAAAGCAAATCAGGCAGTTTCTCTCCCAATCCTTGCAAAAAGTTTTCTCAAACAGATCGCATATAGAAGCATTGTTGTTTGTGAAGCGATCAGAAGAGTTTTTGTCGCCTATTACGGATGAACAGGAAAGATAAGTTTTTTTTCGTTGTCAAAAATTTGCGGCAGAAGGTGGGCAACTGGCTGTTTGTTATTCGCTTTCCTCTGTAGAATCTAGGCAATCTGAAAGTGAAAATGAACAAACCACAGTTCCTGACTTTACTCTTTTCTTCTGCTGATTCTTTTCAAATTCTTGAAAGCCTTCTCTCACTGATTGGAACATGATTGAAAAACCTGCTTCAAAGTTTTAAAAAGCATGTAAACTTATGTCTTCTGCTTAGAGTTTGCTTCAACCTTACTCTGTGAATAGAATACTATGATATCTTTTTTGGAGTATGCATCCTCCTAAAGATCCAAAATACCACGCACTGTAATTTGATTAAATTTAGTTGTCACTGTCACTGTCTTGAACTGTTCTTGCTCTGAACACACTGAGGTGTAGCCTGTACCGTTGAGGTGGCCGTTGTGAATTACTATAGTTCTGTATTATTTTGCTTTTACTGACATCTAATGTGATTAAACTGAAATGTGGAGCGTACTACTGAGAGAAGCTTGGTGGATAGATGTAGATCATATACTCTTTTTTTACAGTTCTTTCTGATTAAAATATGCAAATTATTTGTATGAGTCACTGACGCTGCTCAGACATTTTTCTGGTGACAGTGACAGAATCTGAAGGTTTTAATAGCTTTTGTTCACTCCATTTAATTTTCACAGTCTTAAAATTTATACTGGTAATTTTTAATTAACTGATCTTTTCTTTGCTGGGTTAGCTAATGTTTTTACACTGCTCGATATTGTTTTTTTTTCAGGTATTTGGCAAAAAAAGGTAATAGAATTGTTTTGATTTCATCATTGAATTCCGGCCTATCAAGGCTGTCATGAATCAGTCCTCGAGCGAATTCAGAGAATATGTGAAAGATATATTCCGCATAACTGAGCAGTAAGAATAAGAAACTATACTTGACCAAATTAAGTTAAAACAGTGAATGGAAAATAAGTTTAGGCAACGTAGGCAGTGATCAAAGAATATAGCAATTTTATGACCTTACTCAAAGAACTAAAAAGAAACAAGGGCGAAGCGCTGTACGAACAGGTTGCTGAAAAAGATGATAGATTTCCATCACTTCTAAGGTCAACGCAAGAATTTTTTGAAGATTTAAGATAGAAAGCAAGAGAGAAACCAAGAAAAAAATTTCTTTGACAAATTGCACATTTTTGCCTCTTTTCCTCAGACCTTTTTTTAGAAGACGTTTTAAACATGACATTTTCCTAGCACAGCTTTACAGAAATGATCAATTCTAAGCTGGCTTTAAAAATATCTGCAAAATTTGTTAAAAAATTTTTTGTAAGAAGCCCGAAACTAATAGGTCATTCCACGCCAAATTGCACAAGTTTGCACCTCAACCTCCCAGGTTTTTTTTCATTTTTCACCAACTTGTAGCACTTAATACCGGATTTTGAAATCGAAAGAGTTTACTCCAAAAAGTGCGCTGACGGCTGAGTAAGACCATCCTAAAGTGCGAAAAAATATGGGATTCACCCTCGACATGGTCAGCTTTAACAACTTATATTTTTCTGAGTTCGCGGTGGATTTTGCTCATTTTTTATTTCTTTTGGAAGCGGGTCTCTTGCGCGTTAAGAAAAATAATGACAAGCTTAAATTAACAGATTTTTTTTCAAACAAATTAAAAATAAAAATTCAAAGCGCTTTTTCTCAAAAAACGACAGTTTCAATCTTTTAAAAAAGACACATTTTTAAAGACATATTTTCTACACAAAATATGAAAATTACAAGGTAATACCTTCTCGGCACCAGAAGTTATGGCATGATAGGTGATAGTAAACGGGGAAAAATCCCTAATTCAAAAAACGTTTTGGCGCTTTCGCAAGCCTCAGATCCTCTGTTCCAACCAAAATTTTATTTGGTTTTGTAGTATATATAATTCTTGTGAAACTTTTCAACTCTAATACTCCAGTAGCAAAAAATTAGTTAAAATTAATTTAATTTTGAACAATTTCACAAAGTTTTTTTCTTTTGAATTTATTTACTTTTTCTTCGAAATTTTTGGATTTACTAGTATCTCTTCTCATTCGTTCAGAGCACATCTGTAAAGGTCATTCTGAGTCACGATTTAGACTGAAAATGTCTCTTTCATGCCGGACATCGTTGCTGG